CTGTCTTCAAGGTATATGATCATTTCTTTAGCTGTATCATCTACTAATGAGCCCATCCAAGGAAATATTTTCTCTAACACTGTCTTTTTAAAATTTCTAGCATTCCTATTTGACTTTTAAAAATCACTTCTATATCTCTTCTAAAATTCCTCAGTCTGCTTATCCATGTTGGCCACTTTTTTTTTTTAGATCCTTTAACATATTACTCATAGCCATTATAAGGTCTCTCTGATAGTGCTAACATCTAAGTCATCTCTGAGTCTCTGATTGCTTTGTAGCTTGACAAGGAGGTTGTCTTTTTTCTTTTTAGTACATCTTGTAATTTTTGATTGAATGTCAAACCTCTTATGTAGAGGAGGAGAGACTTAGATAAATAGTATTTATGGCTGGAAGTGGACATGCTTCTTCTCAGCAGTTAGCACGGCACATTGAATCAATGTAGTTAAAAGATGAGCTAGATTTAGGTTTTGTTATTGCCAAGATTACTTTCAATGCACCATGGGCTTCATGTTTCTCTTATGATGCTGTCTTAGGCTGGGTTCTCTAGAGAAGCAAAACCAGTAAAATGTACAAATATATACATATAGAGAGATTTATATCAAGGAAATGGCTCACATGGTTGTAGAGGCTGAAATGTCTCAAGTCTGTGGATCAGGATAGAGGCTTCTCCTGATTCATGCACCTGTAGGGGCTGGTGAATCCAAGATCAGCAGGTCAGAGATCAGGGCTCTTGCTCACAGGCTGCGAAGATTGATGAATCCCAAGATCAACAGGTAAAATCGCACGTAAGCTGCTAGCTCAAGTCCCAAGAACCAGAGGTCAGACGAACAGAAGCCAGGTGCAGGACCAAGCGTAAGCAAAAAGCCCTCAAGCCTTGCCAGAATGTCCGCTTATATTCGTTGCAGGCCACAGGTCCAAGGAAACTCCTTTTCAATTAATTGGCTACTCGCAGCAGATTCCATCATGGGAGTGATCACATATCAAATCTCAACAGGGAAGTGATCACAACATTATAAGACTGCCAAAACACTGAGAATCATGGCCCAGCCAAGTTGACACACAATCTTAACCATCACAGATGCCTTATGCTTAGGGTGGGGTCTGAAGTGCTGTTGAGTTTTTCAGTGTTTGTGCTCCACCTTCAGCTTTCAGCATTCTCTTTACACGATGTAGACACCACAGAGGCAGTCTCTGTCCATGCTCCTGCCTTCCTTCAGTGGCAGACTGCTGCTGCTTGTTACTTGGTGTTTGCTAGTGTGGTGGTAGTTGTGGGGGAGGCAGAGTGAGTCTCTGTAGTCTTCCTCACCTTCAGTCTTAGGTAGGCATTATTTGCCTGGGCCTTGTTGTTGTTGTTGTTATGTGCTGCCGAGTCGGTTCTGACTCAGTGACCCTATAGGACAGAGTAGAATTGTCTTATAGGCTTTCCAAGGAGTGGCTGGTAGATTTCAACTGCTGACATTTGGTTAACAACCAAGTTCTTACCCATTGTGACACCAGGGCCTTAGGGATGAGGTATTATCATATTCCTGCCCCTCCTTCCTGTGGCAGGCAGGCAAACTCTGCCTTGTGTCTATGTCAGGTCTTGTGTGGGAAAGATTTTCCTGCTGCTCCCCCAGTTATAGGAGATCTCTAAAAGTATAGAATCCTGGGCTCAGGACTGTTTCTTGTCCCTGGCAACAGTGAGTCTTTACCTGCGCCCTAGGGGCAACAATGTTTGCTGCTCCTGTCCAGAGTCTTAAGCTTATAAATATATACACATGTAGTCCCTGACTTATGATGGAGTTCTGTTCCAATGACTCCATTGTAAGTTGGTTCTAACGTAAGTCAAATACCTCATTTTTATTTTATTTATTTTTTTGTTTTCATTATTCTTGCCTTTTATTGTCAGTATCTTTATAAATCCAAACTTTATTTGTCTTTAGGGGTTGGAACATTGTAAGTAGTATACATATTACTAAAGATAAGATGTACAAAAAAAAAAAGACTATTGTAAGTGCGATTCAGTGTAAATTGAACGTGTCATAAGTTGAGGACTACCTGTTTATATTTTATTTTTGTTGTTGTTGTTGAGAATATACACAGCAAAACATACACCAATCCAACAATTTCTACATGTACAATTCAGTGACATTGATTACATTCTTTGAGTTGTGCAACCATTCTCACCCTCCTTTTCTAAGTTGTTCTTCCCCCATTAACACAAACTCACTGCCTCCTAAGTTTCCTATATAATCTTTCAAGTTGTTGTTGTCCATTTGATCACATATAGATAGACCTTAAAAGGGCACAATGCTTAAGGCAGACATTCTTTACTAGTTAAGCTAAACTATTGTTTGGTTTTAAGAAGACTTCAAGGGATATTTTTGGTTTAAGGTTTAAAGATTATCTCAGGACAATAGTTTTAGGGGTTCATCTAGCCTCCACGGCTCCATAAAATATGGATTCCATGAAAATTTTAAATTCTGTTATGCATTTTCCCCCTTTTGATCCAGATTCTTCTATAGAATCTTTGATCAAAATGTTCAGTAATGATAGCTGGACACCATCTAATTCTGGTCTCATGGCAAAGGAGGCATTTGTTCATGGAGACAATTAGCCACACATTCCATTTCCTCCTCCTATTTCTGACTCTTCTTCTTCCTCTGTTGTTCCACTCTTAAGCCTTTTTAAAGGCAGCTGGGGCCTTTCCTGCTATGGTAGCTAATGCTCTCCTCTATGCCTGTATCTCTGAGGAAGACTCTTTTCAGTTTCCCATCTTGCCCACAGTCTTCCTTGTGGGTACCTGGTAGAAGTCATAGAAGAATCCGTGAGTAAGTACAAATTCCCCTTGATTCTGTGGCTCCCTGAAGTTCTTTGTAGCCACTGAACTCCACATTAAGCCTTTAGTAATTCATTAAAAATTATAGATGGTTTCCTCTTGCTTATTTATATGATGACCCAAATTCTACGCATGCTCTACCACAGACTAGACAGTCCAGGTGTTCAGTATCTTCTTGGATTTTAGGCTACTTTGTTGGCCTGCAACCTCATTCAGCTCTTAGAGTCAACTTTTCTATTCAAGAACAGTTGTGATTTTGTAGTTTATCTGGCTTTTTCTTATTGTCAAGATGGAAGCGACTCTCTTTCCATCTTTTTACATACTAAGTGGAAGCAAAGGAGCTCTGGTGGTGCAGTGGTTAAGCACTTGGCTGCTAACCAAAAGGTCAGTGGTTTGAACCTACCAGCTGCTCTGCAGAAGAAAGATGTGGCAGTCTGCTTCTCTAAAAATTACACTCTTGGAAACTCTCTGTCCTATGGTGTTGCTATGAGTCGGAATCGATTCGACAACAAGTTTTGGTTTTAAGTGGAAGCAGAACTTCTTACATATTGTTTTATATCATGCCCCTCCCCCCCCCCCGTTAAATTAGTGTTGCAAACAATTCCCTTTGTCATGAAAACATTATTTGTAATAACTGCATACTACTTCTTTATATTAATATGACAGTTTATTTAAACAAACTCTTATTATTAGACATTGTATTAGACCAAAAAAACCTCAAACCTGTTGCTGTCGAGTTGATTCTGACTGTTTGTAACCCTATAGGACAGAGTAGAACAGCCCCATACGGTTTCCAAGGAGCGGCTGGTGGATTAGAACTGCTAACCTTTTGGTTTGCAGCCTTAATGCTTAGCCACTGCACTACCAGGGCTCCATGGTATTAGACATAATGTTTTCTTCTCCTAGCATCTCTTTCCCTACCCTAACCCACTTCCTATAGGAGTGGACTCCTCTTCCTTTGGAGAACTGCCCATCCCCAACTCCATGTGGTTCCAGTGGGGTTGTCAATCATAGTACTCCATCACTCTACTTCTGGGTGTATTCTGGCCACAGTGGTTGGTTCAGAGGTGAGCATGTGAGAGAAGGAGGAACATAGTCCTTCTTCAGAAATTTCTATAACATAGGTGAGGAAGTTTTGTCTATTTGAGTCATAGAGCTGGAAGAATATGAATCGAAGACTCGCAGCTGCCATCTTCCCCACTACTTGGAGGAAAGCCTGTGTACAGAAGGCAAAAACGAGACCAGCTAGAGACAAGCAAACAAGAGAGGAAGACTGGGAGAAGTGAGTCCTGGTAACGACAAGTCTCTAATTTCAGGCCTACCTAACAATAACAACAACAAAGTCATCTATCTTGTTCCTTCAGCTCTTCCTTCACTTCTGTGATCTATTCCAGTTACCAAAAACCCTTTTTATTTAAGCTGGTTTGATTTGGGTTTGTCATTGACCCAGAAAATTATCCTAATTTATACTTTCAGTGACTTCTAAGTCTTGCCATTATAAAGAACACTGTGAAGAAACTCAGTATAAATCAATTTTTGCATACATGCGTCATCTTTTTTCCCTTTAAGATACATTTCCAGTGTAAGAGTTGCTGGGTCAAAGAATAAGCAAATCATAAAGGCTTTAGCTGTGTATTGTGAAATTGCCCTCAGAAAAGCTGTGCAATTTATATGTTCTACAGGAATGTATATGTCCCTATTTCTATACAATCACAACAGTAATGAATAGGATTAATGTCAAAAAAATTCCCAAATAGATAGAAGTTTATTACTTTTCTATTGATACTGCCCCCATACCTACATTCTCAAGTATCACAATAGAATAATAGAAGTTCAAAAAGAGATCAAATGGGAATGGGAATTTGGAATGAAACCAGAAAAAAGGGAGGAGGCCAGCATGTTCTCTGAGAGCTTTACCACTATGCATACCCAGCACTGGCAGTTCCCCAAAACTGGTATGATGGACTAGCTGAACCAGTATGCATGTTTTAGGGAGAAAGAAATTTGAGAAAGTGAACAGAGGTCTTACCCTCCTCTACCACCTTAGCCTGAGGCCCCAGTAAGTGATTGGCTGGAGCATCAGTCATAGCTCCACACCCTACCTGGGGAGTTAGTATATAAGCTACAGCAGGGGAGCAGACCTCCTGTTCCTGGTCCTGAGGAAACCAGCTCATTCACGAAGATGTGGGCTCAACTTCTTCTAGGAATGTTGGCCCTATTGCCAGCCATTGCAGAAGAACTTGTCCCGTAAGTGCTTGGAGTCTGAGTTGATTTAGAGCAGGTGGCTTCTTTGCCTCTTTCTCAAACACAAATATGGGGGGGAGGAGACAACTTTTGGTTTATTTTTGGAGGCTTAATTTCATCCTCATCTTTTCCCTCCCTTGGTTTCATGGCTCCTTTTCTCAAAGAGAAGAGCTGAGGTACCAAGAGGAAGCTTTAAAAAAAAGATAAACATTAAAATTAGTAGAGTTCTCGTACCTTATTTCCTCCTTAGCAGCTCAGGCATGGGAGTCCCTCCGTCGTGCAAACAGTTTATGTGCTTGGCTGCTAACCAAAAGGTTGGAGGTTCAAGTCCACCCAGAGGTACCTTGGAAGAAAAGCCTGGTGATCTACTTCTGAAAAATCAGCCATTTGAAAACCCTGTGGAGCATAGCTTTACTCTAAAGGACGTAGGGTCACCATGAGTCAGAATCAACTCAACGGCGAATGGTTTTTAGCCTAGGTATAGGTTGTTAATGAGTCCCCAGTTCTGGGAGATTTAAGTTTATTCACTGAGTTGTTATTTGCCTGCTTCTCCCTTATAGAAAATAAGGTTCATAAGAGCAGGGATGTGGTCTGTTTCATTCACTGCTATATGCCAAGTACTTAGGAGAGAGTCTAGTTTTTCAGTGAATGAATGAAACATTATTGCTCTGAAATACTTTTTGTTCTTTAATAGAAACTACCTGGTGACATTGCCAGCCCAGCTTAACTTCCCCTCCACTCAGAAGGTTTGTTTGGATCTGAGCCCTGGGTATTATGGTGTAAAATTCACTATTACTCTGGAGACCAAGGACAAGACCCAGAAATTGCTAGAACACTCTGGAATGAAGAAGAGGCACTTACATTGTATCTCCTTTTTGGTAGGCACAGATTCAGCCCCAATTCTAATCCCTTACTTTCCCTATTCTCTTCCCTAGGCACTCACTGTAATCTTACTTCAAATATAATTTCTGTTATCTTATTTTTGCTATGGCCTCTAAACCTATCTTCCCTAACCTTAGCTTCAATTCCCTGCCATAACTCACCCACAGTTTCCTTGACCTTGGATTTCTCCTTTCAGTTCCTGACCTTAACTTCTGATATTGCTCCCCTTAAGCTCCCTGGGTAGCGAACTGGTTTGTGCTCAACTACTAACCTAAATGTTTGTTTCAAACTCACCCAGTGGCGCTGTGGAAAAAGCCTGGCAATCTGCTTCCGTAAAGATTACAACTAAGAAAACCCCATGGAGCAGTTCTACTCTGCAACATATAGGGTTGCCGTGAGTCGGAATTGACTCTACAGCAGTGGGTTTTTTGTTTTGTTTTGTTTTCTTCCTGCAACTTGTTTTATGGCTCAACCCTTGCTACCCCCCTCCCCATATAACTCAGTTCTTTAATCTCCTGCTGTTCGGTTGAGAGCAGTTGATTCCCCCAACCTCCTACTCCTCCTTAGAGGGCTCCTCTCTTGGCCAGGTACCGCCTCCTGCTGGTGGCACAGAAGAAGTGGCCACAATCCAAGTGTCAGGAGTTGGAAATAGAGTCAGATTTGAGGAGAAAAAGAAGGTTCTAATTCAGAGGCAGAGGAGTGGCACTTTTGTACAGACTGATAAACCTCTCTACACCCCAGGGCAGCGAGGTAAGAGGCTCAGATGTGGGGTTAAGACAAGAGACTGGGGAAACAGCTGTGAATAATGGTACCGAGGGGATTTGTGGTTTGTGCTTTGGGAGGTAAGCCTGTGAAACAGGGAGTGCAGAAGAAAGTCTGGAGAGATGAAGTATTGCGGGTGTTGAATATATGCCCAATGCTGCACAAGTGAAAGAGTAGTGGGTGGAGTTGCTACTGTGTGTAAGTTTCTAAAACAAAAGAACATGTTTCTTCCGGAGTGGAATTTGGCAAGTGTAATTGGTTTTCTGGGTCTTATAGTAAGCTGTTTGGATGTGGATAAGAAAGCATTAAGGGCACTTGGCTTGTGTTTCTGTATTTGTGTTGTACCTTCTCCCTCAGAGGAACACTCCATTCTGAGGTTTCAAAGTCAGGAGCCCTGAAGAGAAACCTTTTTTTTGGGCATTACCTTTCTCTCAAACTAGGTTTTTTTTTTTCTCTTTTAAAGTATATTTTCTATCTGATGAGGTTTTTCTAACTCAGAAGACTGTGTGTGTGAGAAAGTAGAGGGGGTGGAAGAAGAGAAGATTCTGAGAGGGGGAAGAAGTCACCTTTATTAATGATGCTTGCTCCTTCTAGTGTATTTCCGCATTGTCACCCTGAACAGCAATTTTGTTCCAGTGAATGACAAGGTAAGGATTTAGTTCGGAGGACGGAAAGGGAAGGGGGAGTAAGGGCAAACTGAGAGAGAATAGGGAAATAGAATCAAAAGTCTGTGGTCCAAACCCACCAGCTGCTCTGTAGGAGAAAGATGTGGCAGTTAGCTTCGTAAAGATTTACAGCCTTGGAAACCCTCTGGGGCAGTTCTACTCTGTCCTATAGGGGCGTTATGATTTGAAATCGAGCAGAAATGACTAGGTCTCAGCTTCGGTATCTACACATCAATTAGATTAACCTTCCTGAGAAATGATTACGCTTGCCGTCATTTAAAAAGTTTTTGCAAACTTCAAAACCTTCTCTTAGGGAATGATGCCAAGTGGCTTTGCAATTCAAATACTAAGAAATAATTCAGAATAATTCATTTTAACAACATGAAAACGTTAGAATATCTACCTCCACAATCTTTTTATTTCCTTCAAGGAAAGATAATTGTTTAAACAACTTTAAACAATAAAGTAGACAATCTTCTTAGAGTAACATTAAAAAAAATGTATGAAAGGTAAACATAGTAATATTTGGCGAGTATTTAAAATTTTCTTGAATAACTCAATCCTTAGAATCATAAGCTTGTAATAGGTTTGACCTTGATTTGGGCTTGTGTCACTTCTACAGGCTTCTGAGCTACTTGCCTCTCAGACGTTCCTGCTGTCTTCTTTCTTCCCTGGTCATAGTCCATGTATTCAAATAAAGCTTTTAAAAATAATCATAGGGAAAGCATTATTTTCTTTTTTCATTTCTATGTTCTTAGAACTTCTGCTTCATACAGGGAAGCTATGAGCTTGTTACTGATTGCTAGCCTCCTCCACTTCTTTCTTTGTTAAACATAATTCTTCTTAGCTTCTCCTTCCCAGCATCTGTATCCCTTCTTTAGCAGGAGTTTGGTATACTATGAAGAGCTTCTTTCCTTCTTTTTTGTATTTTTGGTGAAAATTTACACAGCAAATTAGGCTCCCATTTAATAATTCCTATGCATATTGTTCAGAGACATTTTTCACAATATGTCAGCATTCTCATTATTTCCATTCCAGTTGTTCTGTTTCCATTAATCTAGCTTCCCTACACACCCAGCTTATATTCTCATCTTTGCTTTAGGATAAATATTGACTTTCTGGTCTCATATAGATGACTGTTTAAAAGAAGCACAGTACTCACAGTTGATATTGTTTATTTTATAAGCCTATCTATTATTTGGCTGAAAGGTGACCTCCAGGAGTGGGTTCAGTTCCAAATTTAAAGGGTATTTCAGGGTGATAGTCTCAGGGGATCCTCTAGCCTCTACAGGTCCAGTAGGTCTGAACTTTTTTAGGAATTTGAGATTTGTTCTACATTTTTCTCCCATTCTATCTGGGACCATCTATTGTGTCCCTGGTCAGAACAGTTGTTAGTGGTAGCCGGGCATCATCTAGTTCTTCTGGTCTCAGGATAGATGAGGCCATGGTTTTTGTGAGCTATTAGTCCTGTAGACGGGTTTCTTCTTTGAGTCTTTGGTTTCCTTCTTTCTCTTTTGCTCTAGACAAGTATAGACCAATAGTTGTATCTTAGATGGCCGCTTACAAGCTTTTAAGACCTCAGATGCTACTCACCAAAGTAAGATGTAGAACAAAATCTTTATGAACTATGTTATGCCAACTGACCAACTTGTCCCCCAAGACTATGGTCCTAAGCCTTCAAACCCAGTAAACCAAACCCAAGAGGTTTTTGGTTATGTCTAGGTGGTATCTGCAACTGTGCCTCCATGTGCCTTATTATATATATGAATATATATGCAGCACACACAAACATGTATACACACATGCCTACAGATACACCTATACATGCACACCCATATACTCATATGTGCCTTCCTATACACATACATGCACACATCTCTACCTGTATAACTACCCACATATTTTTCAGTTGTTATTATTGTTCTTACAAAATTGTATATGTTACAGCATTTCCCAAATTGCCCCTTATTCTTGTGTACTTCTTAGAGTCATCATTCACCAAAAATAACATGTATCTACTATTTAGAAGGCGCCCTGGTGGCACAGTGGTTAAGAGCTCAGGCTGCTAACCAAAAGGTTGGCAGTTTGAATCCACCAGCTGCTGCTTGGAAACCCTATGGGGTAGTTCTACTCTGTCCTATAGGGTCGTTGTGAGTTGGAATTGACTCGATGGCAATGGGTTTGGTTTTTTTTTGGATTATCTACAAAGTGATTCTCCCGCCCATCCCTGGTAACCATCAAAGAACGTTGCTTTCTGTGTGTATACCTATTCTTGTCTTTTTATAAAAGTGAGAGCATGCAATATTTGTCCTTTTGTGATTGACTTATTTCACTCAGCATAATGTCCTCCAGATTCATCCATGTTATAATGTTTTGAGAACTCATCATTGTTCTTAATAGCTGCATAGTATTCCATTGTGTGTATGTACCACAATTTGTTTATCCGTTCATCTATTGATGAGCACTTAGGTTGTTTCCATCTTTTTTCTGTTGTGAATGACACTGCAGTGAACATAGGTGTGCACGTGTCTATTCATGTCACTGCTATTAGATCTCTATTGTATATACGCAAGAGTAGGGTTGCTGGATCAAAAGATATTGCGTGCTTATTTCTTAACAGAGCCCTTGGGTGGTACAAATGGCTGCTAACCAAAGGGTTGGAGGTTTGAATCCACCCAGAGGTACATCAGAAGAAAGACCTGGCAATCTACTTCTGGAAAATCAGCCATGAAAACCCTATGGGAGCACAGATGTACTCTGACACACGTGGGGTCACCATGAGTCACAATCCACTCAATGACAACTGGTTTATTTCTTAACAGATTGTTGATTTTACAGCTGCTAAAATGAAATGCTATAGTGAAAGCATGATCACAAGCACAGCTACCTTAGACCCTACTGCTCCCCAGAGGTAGATTTCATTTAACTGCCCCTGTTATACTCTTTTCCTCTCTGCTCAGATTATGCCAGATTACTTTGAGGTGCTCTGATTTCAGTAGTTAAACTATATTCCACTTGTAAAATTATTCCTTCCTCCCTACTCCATTTCTCTTTCCAGCTGCCCTTTCAGTTGACACATTGAAATTACCAAAAGGAATCTTACTAAGAAGCCGAGGGATACAAATTGTGAATTTACGAGCACAGTATTTTATCCTCAAACAACTAAGGTATACCTGAGATTGAATGACCCTGTCTAGTTTGAGTGCCACACCCAGTTACTGAGAAAGCTTACGCAGCATCCAGTTGAAAATGCTGCGTATTTTCCTAGCTGAACTCATTTCCTCCCAGGCCCTACTTCTGGCTTTTATTATGAAAATTTTCGAACATACCACCTACATTCAACTTCTTTCATTTTGCCCTATTTTTTATTTATCTTTTTTTTTCTGAATCATTTGAAAGTAAGTTGCAAACATGTTGTTGTGTGCCATCAAGTTGATTCCAACTCATAGCAACCTTATAGGACGAAGTAGAATTGCCCCATCTGGTTTCCAAAGCTGTTATCTTTATGGAAACAGACTGCTGCATCTTTCTCCCGTGGAGCGGCTGGTGGGTTTGAACTGCCGACCTTTTGGTTAGCAGCTGAGTTTTTAACCACTGTGTCATCAGCCGCTCCTAAATACTTCAACGTGCATCTTCTAAAAATAATATTTTAAATAATCATAATATTATCACACCTAAAAAAATGAACAATAATTATTTCATATCATTTAATAGCCAGTACAATATCAGATTTTTCCAAATAACTTTTGGATTTTTTTTTTTCAAACTAGGATCCAGTCAAGTTCATGTATTGCATTTGATTTTATCTTTTTAATTTCTGTTAATCCAAAATAATACTCCTATTTTTTTTCATTATATTGATTTTTTTTGAGAGGGAGAGATAGCTAGGTAGATAGATATTAGGCCAGATGACTTGTACAATGTACCCATTCTGGAATATGACATTGACTTTTGAAGAAGCCTAGTTGTCTTATAGAATATTCTTGATTTATCTGGTTATTTCGTTATCATGTAGTCTAACTTGTCCCTCTATCCTCTGGAAATCATGTCTGAAGTCTTAATTTGACTTAGTCTAAACTTTTTTGGCAAACATATTTCTTAGGTAATGCTGTGAACCTCATATTGTAACACATCAGCACGTAATGTCAGGTGGTCCCATTATTAGTGATGGTGAGTTTGGTTAAGGCAGTGACAGCCAAATCTCTCCATTGTAAAGGTATGTCCTTTTCCTTTTCAAATTAGCAAGTAATTCTGGGGTGAGACTTTAATGCCTAGCACAGTGATCTGCTCCCCACCAACTTAATGGCTTTAGCAATCACTTTCTTGAAGAATTATGCACAATCCTGTGATAGAACTCCTTTGAACAACAATAAGTTCTTTTTTAATTGCTTTGCAAAGTTTGAACTCATCTAGTCCAGTGGCATTTAGAAAGCAGAGGAAGAGGCCAGAAGCTGGTTGATTTTTGAGAAAAGGTTTAAACACTGGGGGGGGACCCTGGGTGTTAATGCTTTTAGGGCACATTGTGGAAGAGCTATTACAGAGAGCACTTAGGGACCCTGAAGGGTCTAAAGCTCCATTTCTTCAAATCTTTTGGAGATTGGCAACCCTTCTGAGGAAATGTCTTCTCTCTCCTTGCCCACCTAATAAACTCAATAAACTATTTTTACTCGTACCAGGGCACAAAGATGCCATTTATGAAGAAGGGGTGGGCAATAGACTTAGGAAGAATGAACTTGTTGCCTTTAGCAAGCTTATCCTTATTAGCTTATCCTGCTTTAATCCACCTTCTCTGATTTTCCTTTGCAGTACTCCCTGGTGGAACTGCAGGTAAGTAGGTTTTTCTTTTTCTTCTGTGTCAGTTGCGCAGAAAGAGAAATGAGAGTCTGGTGCTGCACCTTAAAGCCAGAAATGACCCTGAGATCTTGGCCCAGACCTGTGTATTCACAACCCCACCAAAGCTTGTGTCTGCTCTTCACCTCTGCCCTCCTGTCTTCTCAGACCTAAACCTCTGTAGACAAGGACACCAACCTCTGCTGCAACCACACCCCCGCTGATTCTGGTGACTTCTCTATGCCACGCCAACTCAAAAAGGCTTGGTTCTGTATTCCTCTTAGTCTTAGGTAATAGCCCTTGTCATAGACACTCAACAGTTGAATGATTATATGAGTATCCATGTCTTAGTCATCTAGTGCTGCTCCAACAGAAATACCACAGGTGGATGGCTTTAACAAAGAGAAGTTTATTCTCTCACAGTCCAGTAGGGTACAAGTCCAAATTCAGGGCGTCAGCTCCAAGGGAATGCTTTCTCTGTTGGCTCTGGAGGAAGGTCCATGTCATCAATCTTCCCTTGGTCTGGGAGGTTCTCTGCACAGGAATCTCAGGTCCAAAGGACGTGCTCTGCTCCTGGCACTGCCTTCTTGGTGGTATGAAGTTCCCATGTGTCTCCACTCGCTTCTCTCTTTTATATCTCAAAAGAGATTGGATTAAGACAGTATCCAATCTTGTAGACCTTATCAATATACCCTCATCATATCATAGTGACAGAGTTTACAACACATAAGGAAATCACATATAACCTCATCATAGGGATAGAGTTTACAACACATAAGGAAATCACATCAGATTTACCAAATGGTATACAATACTGGTAATCATGACCCAGCCAAGTTGACAAATATTTTGGGGGGACACAATTCAATCCATGACAATCCATGACAATCCATGACAAGTGTTTTCGTTTTGTTTTGTTTTTCTCAGAAGGGAAGAAAGTGGAAGGGCAAATTCTCACATTATCCCCTCCATTTTTCCATCAAATTACCTCTCTCTCAGCTATTTTACAATGAATCCCTCCAGCTTTTTCCTTTAGTAGGAACCAGGAAAAGGGTAAATATTCTTTAAAGCCTACTTTCTGAAACTGGTGTTAACACCTTAAGAGAGTCAGTCTGATAATCTGAACTCACAAGGACCCATTTCTTGCCAAATGGGGACTGGACATGTAGGAAAATTTATCTCACTGAGCAATGAAGAAAATTATAAATAACGTAGGGAGCTGTTCGTCATGGACACAAACCACAGGGATCATGTACAACGGGGTCATGAGAAGCGTAATGCTCTTAGCCTTTGTCGACGTGCCTGCCTTCAACCTTTACCTGCTTTTTGCAGTGCAAAAACCATGGTGACCCCAGTGCAAAGTGGGCAGCCAATAGGCAGGCACATCATTCTGTTTCTCTTTACTGGACACAGGATCCAAATAGCAACAGGATTGCACAGTGGCTGGAAGTGGTGCCTGAGAAAGGCATTGTAGACCTGTCTTTCCAACTGTCATCAGAGGCAATGCCGGGCACTTATACTGTGGCAGTGGCTGGAGAGAAGACCTTTGCAACTTTCAGTGTGGAAGAATATGGTAGGTTGGGGAATTAATGGGTCAAGGTGTTGGACACAATCTTGTCTCAAAATCATCAAAGGTAAAGTGAAATCTGCTCTGGGGATGATGACTTACTCATTTTTGGTTCAATGCTAAACCAGCTAATAACTTCAGCTGCATTCTAGTTTAATCATGTTCTGTACATTTTAATTATCCTTATTTCTACACCTCTATATATTTCTACATCACTGTATAGCCAAATCCTCCTCATAGTCTTTATTCATTTCTCTTTCCACTCTCTCCAGTGTTGCCTAAGTATAAGGTGGAAGTGGTGGAACCTAAGCAGTTATCGACGGTGGAGGAATCTTTCTTAGTAAAAATTTGTTGTAGGTAAGAGTAGGGTTCTGGATCTGATGGAGTTTAAAGCTATATTGAGATAAATGAAAAGGAAGTGTTATAGGGAGAGGGATTATAGGGATAGGGGTTAAAACCTGAGATGTTTTATGTAGTTCAAAGCCATGACTTATCCAAGAACACATTTTCTAGTTGTGTTCTATGGCTACTGGTCACTCAGTGGTTTAGTTTGTGCAGACCACAATTCTAAATCCTATGGAGAAATAGGAATATGTATAAAGAAGAAAGAAGGACACTGTTTCTGTCCTTAGGATGGTGCTTACTCTGTAATGGTGTAATGGCAATATCCAAGGGCTCTGAGTAAGGCTGGGAAGGGATCAACAGCTGGAGAAGAGTAGGATTTTCAAAGCACTTTCAAAGGTTGAGGGTTTTAGGGAAGAAGGAAAAATGGCATTTTAGGGGAGGAGGGTTGGATCTCAAGTGGCAGTTCCCAACTCTAACTCATGCTTTTCTGGGTTAGGTACACCTATGGAAAGCCCATGCTAGGGGCAGTGCAGGTGTCCATGTGTCAGAAGGCATTTACCTACTGGTATCATGAGAGGGGAAGGGAGCAACTACCTGACAAATGCAAGAAACTCTCTGGACAAGTGAGTAAATGGGATGTAGAAAAGGGACCTTATTTACACATCCCAAAGAGTAAGGAGGGCCAATACAGAAAAGTGGTAAAAAGCCCAAAGTAGAAAGCGTTTCACAGGATTATTATCCCATATCAAATAACAAAGCAGCGTCTTTTCCTAAACAGAAGAAGTCTTCCGGAATCTGCCTTGGAATCAAGAAATTAACCTAAGCCCTAGTGAGATATGGTTTTCCAGGTCTGCAGCTGGTTCTCTCCCCCGTCATATATCCTGGAGCTTCACAGTCATTTCTTGATTATATATGTGTCTGTCTTTGGGAATATATATATAGTCACACTGGGTGGCACAAACTGTTAGCACTCGACTACTAACTGAAAAGTTGGTGGTTCGAACCCACCCAGAAGAGCCGAGGAAGACAAGCCTGATGATCTGCTTCCATAAACATTGCAGCCAAGAAAACCCTATGGAGCATTTCTACTCTGTAACACATGGGGTCGCCATGAGTCAGAATTGACTCGATGGCAACAAGTCAGTATGGGCTTGTGCATACTCCCTGTTTAGGTTATAGGAGAGTTTTTCCATTTTAAAGATGGAGAACATAAAGTATAGAGATAAGAAATGGCTTACTTCTACATTACGTTATGGAGTAGAAGTAGAGATTTCATTACTCATCTTTCTCTCTATTCACCTCTCCAGACTGACAAAGCAGGATGCTTTTCAGCCTTTGTGGACATGTCCACCTTCAACCTCACTGGCCACATGTACAGCCAAAGCATCGATATAGTGGCTACTGTAGTGGAGGAAGGGACAGGTAAGCTGGATACTCTTTGGCTCCTTAAGAAAAAAGATAGAAAGAGCTGTTCCTGGGACAACTTAATCAGAGGACTCATTAGTATTTAGTAGTGACCTGTTCCTATTTCAAGGTTAAGGGGAAAATGCCAGATTTTACCCTGCCATCCACTGCCTATTTCTCTAGTAGTTTGAGGAGGAGAAGTTAGTCTGAATCTTTAGCCCAGAATATATTTAGTTTTCATAGTTCCAGTGGCACCATCATCTCAAGGATTTTACGTTAAATGTAAAGATGAAGCTCTGAAGTGTTTAGATCATGATTCATCTGGTTTTCCTCTGCAGGTGTGGAGGCCAATACCACACAGGAGATATACATTTCTTCACAAATAGGATCAGTGACCTTTGAAGACACCAATAATTTTTATTATCCCAATTTCCCCTTCAGTGGGAAGGTATGTTGAAACTTGTCTCTGCACAGATAAAAAATGCTTAACCACTCACTTTTGCCTTCTTCTTGTAGATGTATAATAATAGCTAGCTTACTGCAAGGCATTTTTCTAAGAGCTTTACATGTATTCACTTATTTAATCTTTACAACAGCCTTACAAGGTAGACACTATTATTGGCCCCATTGTATAGATAAGCAGGAGAATGAGCCACAGAGTGCTTAAGTGATTTTCTCAGCTAGTAAGTGTCGACTTGACAACGGGTTTGGTTTTTGGTTTAACGGTTCTGGAGAAATCTAGTCTGGGCTCCTGCATCTAGGCAAGGTTATTATCAAATTTTTCTGGGCAGAAAGCCATTTATAGCACCTTAAGTATTTTCTTCAAAAATTTAAAAATGTCCTCCTTCCAGTTTATCTTCTTCATTTGCCAAACAACTAGTCAACACAATAATATTGTGTATATTCAGACCCAATCATTCCTCAATTATCTTTTCTCTAGGCCAAGGGTAGCTATAGATTTTTCTAGAGCCTGAGGATTACACAGTTTGCAAGGGAAAGAGGGCTTTGTTTAAAGAAGTGGGGGGGGGGGAGACAAAATGATATAGAGAGAGTTGGACGGGGCCTGTGCAAGTGCGTGGTCCTACAGACTAAGCTTTATTAGCTGTGTGGCCAATCTGCCTTTGCTCCAAGCTAAGGAAATTCTCCTTGTTTCTTAGTTTCTCACAGATCCTAATTTTCCACCTGTGAATCTCATATCTTTCTCTGTACTCTTTCCTGAGATGTATTCTTAGAGTTTCACATCATTTACCTCTTACTTGAGCCTACTCCAAATCTAACTCTAATGCCCTAATGACCTTTACTCCCCAGGTAAGAGTTAGGGGCCATGATGGCACTGTCGTCAAGAAGCATTCAGTGTTTCTGGTGATTTATGGCATAAATGGAACTATCAACCAGACCCTCATTACTGACAACAATGGCCTTGCTCACTTCAAGCTGGACACCGTCCCTTGGAATGGGACAGACATTTCTCTGGAGGTAAGCACTAAGGAGGACCCAGCTTCCCAGTGAGGAAGGCTTCCCTGAAGTCAAACTTCAAAATTTTCCTGTTTCATGTACCCACCCCCAAAATCCTCTCTCTCTCTCACTCCCCAGTTGACGAAAAGTTTTTTTTAGATTTTTCCTGTTTTTAATATAAATCAAGTAAATAGCCCTTCAGATCAAAATTGCTATTTCTACTGATTTATCTTACAATTTATCCCCATTGCTACCTGGTCCTGTATTTGAAATCAGAGTGGTTATAGTTGCTGTTGTTAGCTGCCATCGAGTTGTCCCCTGACTCCTGGGAAATCAGAGTAGAGAGGGACCATTGTTCAGAGTCAAGACTTCCTCCTGTTCCCCTGTCCTCTCTCCCTATTACCCATAAAAACGTCAGAGAAGAGGATCTAGATTTTAGATAACCTATAAGGGAGGCTACTCATATCAGTTAGCAACTACCACAACAATGCTGCCTATAAAACAACTACAAAACTTCCGTGTCATACAATAAGCATTTATTGCGCATGCAGCTGGGATAGTCAGATAGGCAGCTCTGCCAATCTTGGTGGGCTTCCTCACGTGTCTCTAGGTCAGCTGGCTGTAGGCTGGTTATCCACATGTTTCACATGCGCCAGCAAGCTAGCTTGGGCATATTCTCCTGGCAATGATAGAGATGCAAATGCAAAAGCAGATGTGTGCAAGGGCTTTTTCAAGCCTCTGCTGTGTTTCATATGCTGATATCCTATTCCCAACAGCAAGTCATACGGCTGCACCCAGAGTCAGACTGAGAGAGTACTACATGGTTACATGGCAAAGAGTGTTGTTACAGGGAGGGGTGGAGAAATGGAGCCATTAATGCACTCATTCAACCACTTTACTTAAGCAAACACATATTATTTGCCTTGTGGCTAATTTGACTATTTCTTTACTCTAAACATCACACAATCACTCTACTCAGAAATAATTATTTTTCAATCTTATTGTCCTCTATATTTAGTTTTCTAAGCCCTGAGATATAATCTTTAAATTCTGTATACTCTTACACATGCTTATCTATCCCCTAGACATCAGTCTGTGAAGGTATATAACCCATAATTTCCCAACTATAATTAAACCTTCATTTCACTTCCCTACGTACCAAAATGTTGCTGTACACACCACTGTTACGGATTACTTGCTCACCTTGGCTGGACTACTAGTGAAATATCCAAGCCTATGTGTTTAATATGGTTTGGGAGTACATGTTGAAAGCTCCTCCGACACCATCTCTCTTTATCTCTCAGGGCAGGTTCCAAATGGAAGATATTGTATATAATTCAGAGCAAGTGCCTCGCTACTACCAAAATGCCTTTCTGCACCTGAGACCCTTCTACAACACAACCCGCAGCTTCCTTGGCATCCATTGGCTAAACGACGTCTTGAAATGTGGCCAGCCCCAGGAAGTGCTGGTGGATTATTACATTGATCCATCTGATGCGAGCCATGACCAAGAAATCATCTTCTCCTACTATGTGAGGCTGGGAAATGCAAATTGGTGAAAATGTATTGGGAAGGAAAGGGGATGAGGAGAGTTAGCCAGAGAAAGTGGATAGACTGTCTAGGTAAAGATATAATGTGAGCCACATATGTAATTTCAAATTTTCCAGTAGCCACATTTAAGAAATTAAAATAAATATGTAAAATTAATTTTAATAATGTATTTTATGTAACCTAATTGTTCCATCATATAATCATTATAGAAATTATTAACAGACATTTAAATTTTTTTGTTCCAATTAAGACTTTGAAATTGAGTGTGTATTGTACACTTACAGAACATCTCAGTTTGGACTAGCCACATTTCAAGTTCTTAATAGTGTGGTTCTTAATAGTGTGGCTACCGTATTGCACAGTACAGGTATGGAGGATAGAGAAAGATTAGGGGAAAAAAAAGAGATTTCCAGCAGGATCCCAGGGAAATTGTGTGGGAAAATAAGACAAGGAATTAAGAAAGAATTAACAAGACAAGAAAGCGTTGCTGGCCAGGGCTGAAAAGGGGTTGGGGAATGGAGCGGTAGGGAGGGCTTGGGACTTGGGATAATTCTTATTCTGTGTTCTATCATGTTAAAGTTAACATTGATAGTAGCTTTGTTGGGGGAAATGTAGCCACAACTTGTAGTCTGAAAGAAATGTGTAAAGATTAGCAACTTTGATGATAGTGAAAAAAGAAAAAACCAAATCAAACTTGCTGCTGTCGAGTTGATTGCGACTCATAGTGACCCTATAGGACAGAGTAGAACTGCCCCATAGGGTTTCCAAGGAACGCCTGGTGGATTCGGACAGCTGACCTTTTGGTTAGCAGCTGTAGCTCTTAACCACTAAAAAAAAACCTGTTGCCATTGTGTGGACTCCAACTTACGGCAACCCCATGTGTGTCAGACTAGAACTGTGTTCCGTAGGGTTTTCAATAGCTGATTTTTCAGAAGTAGATCACCAGGCCTTTCTGTCAAGGTACTTCTGGGTGGACTTGAACCTTCAAGCTTTCAGTTAGCAGCAGGGACTCCAATAGGGAATTAGAGCTATGTAAACCCCAGGTTTAATGGTCCAGGGTCTCTCTTTAATCCTTTATTATCCTCTCAGTCTCTGAGTGACTTTCTACTCACTGGATCATCCCAGTGTCTTCTAAATCACATCAAGCCAAGACAACCATCCCGACACAACAGAATGAGGAGGGGTAGGATATTTCCTAGGAAGGAAAATAACAACTCAGTTGTCAAGTAATGCCTTCAGGACAGAAGTGTGGAGAGGCTTAGCAGAAAAGTGAGGTTGGGGCTGAGCAGTGGGGAAGGCTGAGTGTCAGACAGGGGCCTGAGGAACCAGCCGTTAAGCTGCTGTAGGAATCTTAGATGACAGCCTGCCTAGGAGCAATTTCATCGGTCAGGTTTCCAGTGAGAGTGGACAAGAAGGAAGAGTTAGAAAAGATTTTTTTTCCCAGAGGGTCAAATGTCAGAAGGGCTCAGGACGGTTTGAGGTACACTAATTTCCACTGAATTTTGAATTGAACGGTAATAATAAAAGGTCATGGAGATGGATTTTAGTTGACTTTACGTTATGAGGATTATGACAGAATAAAACCTACATCCAGAAAGGCTCTTTCCCTAGAGATTTTCACAAAATGGTTGTCATGGGGAATCATCATGAGAAATGATTTCCATGCTATCAAATTCAGAGGCAATAATGATGTTTGCCTCTCCCCCTCCCTCTGTGGTTCTCAGGCATTTCCTCCTGGAGGAAGAGCCATCAGGGCCTGTTGGCACCATCCTGCACTTGACAAGCTAAGGGATACTCAGTGAAGTATTTACCCAGGTTCTGGAATTATCAAAGGAGCCTCTTCTCATGGAGGAACACAGGGATGCCCCAGAAATAAGGTCAAGGCTGAACTCCCATAACTCCTGTGCTGTTGATTATTTTCTTTTCTTCCTTAGTTAATAGGCAAAGGGAATTTGGAGATGGAGGGGCAGAAACACTTGAACTTTAAGAAGAAAGGTGAGTATATAGGCTTCTCCTGGAAGAGGAAGGGACTGCTTTGTTGTTGTTGTAAAATTACATGTAACACAACATTTGCCAATTTAACATTTTTGATGTATACAATTTAGTGACATTAATTACATTAATCATGGTGTGCAAACATCACCAGTTTCATTGCCAAATTTCCATCACCGTAAACAAAAACTCAATGCTGCCTACATAATGACTCCAAGAAAGAGATACTTTACTCTTCAAAAAAACAGTTCTTCTATGAGAAGCAATGAGAACAGAACATTAACAACAATTATAGAAGATTAGAAAAATGAGAAGTAGCATGCATATGATCAGTCTGAAGAGAGGTGCAAGCATATGGGTAGAGGTAGTTGGTTGGTGAGTATGCTCTCACTCCTCCACGTCCTCTGTTCTCTTTCAGGACAGAAAGGCTCCTTCTCTATCTCACTGACCTTCACTTCCAGACTAGCCCCTGAACCTTCTCTGGTCATCTACGCCATTTTTCCTGGTGGAGGTATAATAGCTGACAAAATCAAGTTCTCAGTGGAGATGTGCTTTGATAATCAGGTAAAATGGCAGTTGAAGGAAGGTGAAGAAAAGAGTTGGGCATAAAGATCTTGTGTGTTTTGGGGTTGGAGACAAGGCAGGGGCAAGAGAATAAGAAGATGATGAAGTTGGATGTTGTATTTATATCTGTAGAATGTTTGGTTGAAATCCACCTCTCATCTGCTTCTCCTTTTTAAAAAGGCATGCTGGGAAATCACATGTTCTATATAGTTATTCCACATACTCTCTTCTTCCTACTCTGTCTTCTAAAATTTCTATATCATGTTGCTGTGCTTACTTTTCCTAACTCTATCATAAGACACCAGTCCTAAAGAGCCAGAGCTTTTAAAAAAAAAAAAAAAAGTATAGAAGTGAGGAATGGGCTGGACACCATAGGTGAGGTATGCTGGCTGATGATGCAAATCATATTGTTTCCTGATCTCCATGTTACACCTTTCCCTTCCCCAGGTTTCCTTTGGTTTCTCACCTGCCCAGCAACTTCCAGGAGCAGATGTGGAACTAGAGCTGCAGGCAGCTCCTGGGTCCCTGTGTGCAGTCCGGGCTGTGGATGAGAGTGTGTCACTACTTAGACCAGAGAGAGAGCTGAGCAACAGTTCTGTGAGTAATCTGCAGATGACGATGACAGAGTTGTCAGAAAAGACCATTAGACCGCAGAAAAAATAAAAGATGAATCACAGGAAGTGGGAGGGAAGATCTTAGGGAAATGGTGCACCATAATGATGGCAGGACAGCTGTTGTAGAAATCAAGGTAGAAATGATGGTATGTGAAGAGCACAGTTAATATGGAAGTTAAAAAAAACAACAACAACAAACTCATTGCCATCAAGTTGATTCTGACTCATAGCAACCCTACAGGACAGAATAGAACTGCCCCATAGAGTTTCCAAGGAGACTGGCGGATTTGAACTGCCGACGTTTTTAGTTAGCAGCTGTAGCTCTTGAATTACTACACCACCAGAGTTTCCAATATGGAGGTAGAGATAAGGAGAGAGAATGAAGTAGAGGATAAGGATGATGGATTATGAAGAAAGGTGCAGTAGAGGTTAAAATTTAAAAACTAGGAAGATGGCTTTGGTAGAATAAACAAATAAAGAATTCTGGAGTAATGAAGACAAATAATGCAGGAGCAGTGAACTGCTTCACCAGAACCTGAGAGAAGTTTCTCAACTGATTTCACTTTATATCAGAACTTTAGTACCTTCTCCCCTCTCATCTCAGGTCTATGGGATGTTTCCATTCTGGTATGGCCAATACCCCTATCAGGTTGCTGAATATGATGAGTGTCCAGCATCAGGCCCATGGGACTTTCCTCAACCCCTCATTGACCCTGTGCCTGAAGAACGTTGGAGCAGGCGTTCTGTTTTCTGGAGGCCCTGGTTCTCTGAAAGCACTGACCTTTTCAGCTTTTTCCAGGTAGATGCTCTTACCCATTTTGTTCTTATAGAAACAATGGTGGTGGGATGGAGGAAAGGAAAGCCCATACCGAAGAAAGCAGAGACCCTTGTGGGCACTGACAGGGACAAAATCCTAAAAAGAGCTCCTGACATGTAAGGTAGCCTCTCTTGGTCCTTGTGCTTGAAGAAGCTGCCCAATTGCCTTGAAAAGAGAAGTCTTGTGAGACAGTATAAACCTAGCCCCTCTTGCTCTGTGGTCCCCAAACCTATGTCTGTGATCCCACAATTTCTATGGGATCAGTCAAGAAGAAAAATGAAAGAAGGTAGATAAGAGATCTCTTATTATTATAAAAATATTTTGTACCTATTTTATAGGCAGAGGTTTGGGATACTGTGTGGCCCAAGTCTTGACCAGAAGGTCTGTGAGGTCACGTACTGTGTCTTGTTCATCTTTGTGTTCTCTCTAATGCCTGCCCATTCATAATGCTCAATATACTTCTGTTGAAATGAATGAGCTGATATGCGCCCTGCCCTTAGAAAGTTCAGAGTAAGTCATATAATAAGGACACAGAGACTAATGTTTAGAAGAAGAATTAAAGATATTTAACAATGAAATAAGTTTGATTGAAAGCCTTTCACACTAGCTGGAAGTGAGCAAATCTTGGGAGCTGAGTACTGGGTAATAACCACCAATCTTACCATTAATAAGAAAAGAAAGTTTTGATTCAGTCTTTTGATGGTGTAATTCCTGGCAGTAGCTTTTGTAGTTGGGGAGGAGACCACCATAACATTTTATTCTCTGGTCTCTTTGGTGCCAATCAGGACATGGGCCTGAAAATACTGTCCAATGCCAAGATCAAGAAGCCAGTAGATTGCAATCGCCGGTATCCAAATTACGCCACTGCATTTGGTGGAGGTAAGCTACCTCTATGGCTTATGGATTCACTGAGGTGTTTAAGCCAAAGAACTCTGAAAGCTCCCTCGTTGCCTTCTGCTCTTGTACTGAGCCTCTAAACTTAGGATGATAATGGATTGTAGGTCATAGACATGGGCAGTTTCCCAAAGGTCTCTCTTTGGGGAGGGCTTTTGAAGCCTGGAGCCTTTATCTACTCATTCCCTGGCCAAACCTCCTTCTCTGTCACTTCCCCTGAGGGCCTTTGTGACTAGTTAGTTCCTCAGTAGTCCTTCCCCATGTCTCTGATCAAATGTCCTCTGCTTCCTCTGAATTTCTTGCTAAGAATTTCTCTACCTCTATTTGTCTCACAACATAGTTCTTCTGTTTTCCAAAATTCTCTTATTCTTTTTTTTGTTAGAAGTATTATTATTATTTTTTATTGTGCTTTAGATGAACATTTACAGAGCAAATTAGTTTCTCATTAAACGATTAATACGTGTATTGTTTTGTGACATTGGTTGCCAACACCACAACATGTCAACACTCTCCCCTTATTGACCTTGAGTTCCTCATTACCAGCTTTCCTGTCCCCTCCTGCCTTATAGTCCTTGCCCCTGGGTTGGTGTGCCCATTTAGTCTCGTTTTGTTTTATGAGCCTGTCTACTCTTTTGCTGAAGAGTGAACCTTAGGCGTGATTTCAGTACTCAATTAAAAGGATGTCCGAGGGGCATACTCTTGGGATTTCTCTAGTCTCTGTCAGACTAGTTTAAGTCTGGTCTTTTTTTGTGAGTTAGAATTTTGTTCTACATTCATCTCCAACTCTGCCCAATACTCTCTAGTGATCCCCTTCAGAGCAGTCAGTGGTGGTAGCCAGGCACCATCTAGTTGTGCTGGACTCAGTCTGGTGGAGGCTGTGGTAGTTGTGGTCCATTTGTCCTTTGGACTAATCTTTCCCTTTTGCCTTTGGTTTCAAAATTTTCTTATTCTTGATCTCCTCAGCAAGCGGCGGTATTCTTCGAGAGGGTTTTGAGTCATCATCTTCATCATCTCAGTCAAGGGACTCTCAGGTCCGCCAGTACTTCCCAGAGACGTGGATCTGGGATCTGTTTCCTATTGGGTAAGTGGTGCCTCAAATGTACAGCAAGAGTATACAATGTGGAGTCAGCAAAGAACTCAGAATCAGATAATTTCTAATGAATCCAAGTCCTAAGACAAGAAAGTTACATGGGGGTATGGGACCTCTTCTTTCCCTGAATTTTTTTTTAAATTGTGCTTTAGATGAAGGTTTACAGAGCATATTAGTTTCTCATAAACAATTAATACACATATTGTTTTATGACATTGGTTGCCAACCCGTTGACATGTCAGCACTCTCCCCTTCTCAACCTTGGGTTCCCCATGTCCATTCATCAAGTTTTCCTAACCCCCCTTGCCTTCTCGTCCTTGCCCTTGGTTTGGGGTGTCCATTTAGTCTCATATACATGGTTGAGCTAAATGTATTATTGTTTGTTTTATGGGCCTGTCTATCTTTGGCTGAAGGGTGAACCTCAGTAGTGACTTCAGTACTGAGTTAAAAGGATGTTCAAGGGCCATACTCTCAGGGTTTCTCCAGTCTCTGTCAGACCAGTAAGGCTGGTCTTTTTTTGTGAGTTACAATTTTGTTCTACAATTTTCTCCAGCTCTATCCAGGACCCTCTATTGTGATCGCTGTCAGAGCGGTCAGTGGTAGTAGCCAGGCACCATCTAGTTGTGCTGGACTCAGTCCAGGGAGGCTATGGTAGTTGTGGTCCATTAGTTCTTTGGAATAATTTTCCCTGAATTTTTATACAATTGTACACAATCATTCAAAACAAATCCACACTTCACACCCACTAAGATGGCTGTGATTAAAAAAAAAAAAAAGAAGAAAAGAACAAGTGTTGGCAAAGATGTGAAGAAATCGAAACCCTCATTCATTGCTGGTGGGATAGTAAAATGGCACAATCACTGTGGAAAACAATTTGGCAGTTCCTCAAAAGTTATACATAGAATTGCCATATGGTCCAATAATTTCACTCCTAGGTAGGTACCCAAAAGAAATGAAAGCAAGAATGCAAATAGATACTTGTACATCAATGTTTCCTGCAGCATTATTTACAATAGCCAAAAGGTGGAAACAATCCAAATGTCCATCACCATATGAATGGATAAACAAAATGTGGCACATACATACAACTGAATATTACTTAGCCATAAATAGAAATGAATTCCCTGTACATGCTACCACAAGATTAAACCTTGAAAACATTTATGCTAAGTCAAAGAAGCCAGTCACAAAAGGACAAATATTGTATGATTCTACTTATATAAAATATCTAGAATAGGCAAGTGCATAGAGACCAAAGTTTATTGGTGGTTATCAGGGGCAGGAATGAAGGGGAAAAAGGGATTCATTGCTTAGGGGACAGTGAGCTTCTGTTAAGGGTGATGGGAAAAATTAGGAACAGTTAATGGTGATGGTTGAACAACATAATGAACACAATTAGTATTACTGAATTGTTCACGTAAAGATTTTAGAAATGGTAAATGTTTTGTTACCTATATATTTATCACAATGAAAAAAAGTAGGAAAAAATTCACTTCTGTAGATGAATTTATAGCATAATTCACAAATGCTTTTCCTGTCCTGCTCTCCCTCTGCCTCACCTGGGTTCTATGTGTTCCCACAGTAACTCTGGGAAAGAGGCTGTCCATGTCACAGTTCCAGATACCATCACCAAGTGGAAGGCCATGACTTTCTGCACCTCCCAGTCCAGAGGCTTTGGTCTTTCACCCACTGTTGGACTAACTGCTTTCAAGCCATTCTTTGTTGATCTGACTCTCCCTTACTCGGTAGTTCGTGGGGAATCCTTTCATCTTACTGCCACCATCTTCAATTATCTAAAGGACTGCATCAGGGTAAGAGTTGGGGATACAGGGAGCGGGTGTCAGCATTGCAACCACAGACTCCTCCCACCTAAGTTTAATTGGAAGCATCTCAGTTTTCCCTGGGAATGAGATGAGATGCCATTGTCTCTGCTCCTTAGTGTCCCAGAGTCTCTGTCTGCTCTCCACTTTGCTCATACCTTTTATCTCAAACATTATTTTCAGGTTCAGACCAAACTGGCTAAATCAGATAAGTACCAGATAGAATCGTGGGCAGGCTCTGAGGTCTCCAGCTGTCTCTGTGCTGATGAAGCAAAAACCTATCACTGGAACATCACAACTATCAAATTGGGTAAGAGAGGGAAGTGGTAGATGGGCAAGGAAAGCCTAGAGAAAAAGCTCATGGAGTCACCATGAGTTGGGGTCAACTTGATGGCAACAGGTTTAAGTTTAAGAAGCGCTGATCTAGAGGAGAAAAGGTCTCATTAGTACCTCTGGCAGTAGGGCTAATGTATTTCTTCATCCTTCTCTCTCCTCAGGTCAGGTAAACTTTACAATTAGTACTATGATTCTGGACAGCAATGAGCTCTGTGGAGGCCAGAAAGGGTTTGTTCCAGAAAAGGGCCGAAGTGATACACTTATTAAGCCAGTTCTGGTCAAGGTGAGTTTTCTGCAGGCCCAGTTTCAGAGGTAAAGATAGCAACCAACCCAAGATGCTCAGTGTCTAATCATACCAGTTAGTCTCTCAAGGCAGTTGTACCCCAACTCCAATCAGGGAGCTTCAGTTTTCTTCCTCCCTGGCCCCTCTCTGCCCTTAACCATTTGCCTAACCCATACCTATGATCTGTGAAAGTGCCTAGCACAGTGCCTGGCATATCATAGACACTCAAGGAATGTTAGTTTCCCTTACTAAAATCCTTAACTTCATCATTAGCTGCCTTTTTTTTTAATCCCATCACTAACCCTGTTATCAATCCTTCCTCTTCCAAATTTCCTAATTTTGTCCTTGCTCAGAAAGAATTTTACTGAGAGGCCCATCCCTGGGTTGAAAATAGAGTCCTGAGCTTCAAAGATAAACTCTGTTCTCTCTAGTCCTGAGGAAAGCCCTGGGAACACAGGAAGGGCCCCTTCTTCCCATCCCCCCAACCCTTCCTATTCCTTCCTTGCCACTTGCCCTGACACTCACCTTCATTGTTTTCGCCCGGCCTGTGCTCTGTTCATGCCAGCCTGAGGGAGTCCTCGTGGAGAAGGCACACAGCTCACTGCTGTGCCCTAAAGGTGGGTCGAACTGGAGGGGGTTGGAGATTTTCATAGGCGAAAGGAGGAATGAATGTATGGGACAAAAAGGGACAAGACAGTGGGGGGGGGGGGGAGGTGTCGTCCCTCATGTGGCAAATTAGCTGAGAGGCAGGATGAAGACGAAAAAATGCACAGTAGGTTTGTGGCTCTCTTTGGGATTTATTTTCTGCAAAGATCACTTTGAATAGGTAGAAGAAATCTGTCTCCATCACACAGAAATCTCTGGGTTATGGAAAGTTTTTATATGGTTTGGACCTGAGAACCCTCACTGTTATCACCTTCTATTGTCTCACAGGAAAGGTGGCTTCAGAATACATATCCCTGGAGCTCCCTGTAGATGTTGTTCCTGATTCAGCCAAGGCTTATGTTACTGTTCTGGGTAAGCAGCTAGAGATTCTTGGCTGAAAAAAAAAAAAAGTGGGGTTGGAAGCTGCAAAGGTGTGGAGTGGGCTGGGCATGTGGACCTATCTGAAAGAAGGTGCAATTGATTAGAAGTGATGAAGGAAGAAGAGTTTATTTTACATAGTGGGGAAATACAGAGTGTAGGTAATGGTAGAGATGGCATTAAATGTGTACTGTAGTTAAACACAGAAAGAAGTCTGGGCAGGAAGAAATTAAAGGTAACCAAAACTTGCTATGTATTTAGACTCAGGTGGTCTAGAAATTGGGTGGAGAGGACCAAAGGTTTGCAGCAGCCATTTTAAAAATTAGGAACTTACCTATCTGAGTATAGTTTAGAGAAGATGCAACCATATTCACATAGGCAGGACCGCTTCACTACTGCGGACAAGAGGAGGAGTGAGTAGAAAAGCATGCTCTTAAAAATCGTATCTAACTGGGTTAGGGATCCAGCTGCACTATTTCTAGCCTTGTGATCTTGAACAAGTTATTTAACAATTCTGATCCTTCTTTCCCCTTCTGTAAGACATGATAACTTACCTCTCGGGATTGGTGTGAAGATTAAATGCAAGATAGATAGAGTTCTCAGTGTAATCTCTAGCACATAGTAAGAGCCTTTTTAATGTTTAGTTCTTTCTTTACTCTTTCACCCTCTTCCAAAGTCTTTTGCTGGTCAAAATATTCTCAGTTTCAACTGTATTTTATTCATATCTCATTTTATTATACTGTAGTTCACTGGGTATGTCTGTCTTCCATACTACATTGTGAGTTCCTGGAGGACAAGAGCCATGCCTCTTTCATTTCTGTTCCTGGTACAGTTTCTGGAACATAGTTGACATTCAGTACATATTTATAGGTTTGAATTTACCTCAGTGGCTAAAATGCAGATGTTGGTGAGTTACTTACGTCAGGCTTACTGGCTTATAAAGTGTACAGAGGGGTCTGTAGACATAACTTGGGAAAGGATTTCAGGATTGCGTGTGTGCAGAAGGGACGTGGTGATTTGGAGGGTGATGTATTCAGACACAGTGGAGGAACTTAGAAGTTGGGTCTAAGTATTACAGTTTTTGTTACATCACTCATCAGCTCCACTGACACGTCTTCTAAAAAGCTCTGAGCTTCCTTAGGTGGTACCTTTCTGGGTACTGGAGTTCCTGGGTGGTGGAAACAGTTAATGCACTTGGCTGCTAACTGAAAGGTTGGAAGTTTAAGTCTACCCAGAGTTGCCTTGGAAGAAAGGCCTAGGGATCTACTTCCCAAAAAAGCAGCCAATGGAAACAGAGTAGAGCACAGTTCCACTCTGCCACACATGGGGTCTCCATGAGTCAGAATCAACTCAACGGCAACTGGTTTTGGTTCTGGGCACCTAGCATCTTTTACATACCCAATGTTGTATTATAGTACTATATTGTAATTGTTTATAATGAATTATAATTGAAGTATGGTGGAATTGTTTGACCCTCTGTGAGCTCTTTGAGAGTAGAGACTGTGTTTATCTTCTTGTTGTATCCCCAGGGCACATAGTAGGCACTCATTAAATGATAGCTAATATATGTTTGTTCAATGATTTTTCATAAAATCTTACAATTTTTTAAAATCTTAAGGATTTTTTCTTTTCCCCACCACTGTATTCTTTCTCTCTCCTTTTGGATCCCAGGGGACATTATGGGCACAGCCCTGCAGAACCTAGACAATCTGGTGCAGATGCCAACAGGCTGTGGGGAGCAGAACATGGTCATGTTTGCCCCCATCATCTATGTCTTGCAGTACCTGGAGAAGGCAGGGCTGCTGACTAAGGAAATCAGGTCTCGGGCAGTGGGTTTCCTGGAGAAAGGTAAGTTGGTTCAATCTTTCTTTCTTGGACACTCCTCTCCCTCAGAGCCTAAGATGGGTTGAAAAAATACAGCGAAGTTCCAGCCCCTGAGGTGTCCAGGTTCTTGAAGGGAATGGGGATGTGTTTTGAACTTGTCACTGTGATCTAAAAGCACATCTGGCTTCTCAGGGTACCAGACAGAACTGACGTACAAACACAGCAATGGTTCATACAGTGCCTTTGGGGAGCGAGATGGAAATGGAAACACATGGTAGTATTGCCTGTTTCTCAATGAGTCCTGATACCCCAGAACATAATTCCTGAGCCCTCTGGAACCATTTCCCCCTCTTAATCCCATTCCTCCTTGAACTCAGCCCTCTACCTCCCTAGTACTGTCTATTTCAGCCTCTCATATGGTTGAGTCCCTTATCCACCTGATCACACGTCCTCCCCAGTTCTTGTCCTTACTAATGCCCATTAATGTATCCCTTTTCCAGACCTCCTGTGGCAGTATGTTTCCTCAACTCCCCTTCTGGAACCATACACCAGAATAAGCTATAGAACCTTTGCAGCCTCACCAGAAAATCTCCTCCAAGCCATGTTTCCCTCTTTACCCATGTAGGCTGACAGCCTTTGTCACCAAATGCTTTGGCCAGGCTCGGGAATTTATCTTCATTGATGACAAGAACATCCAGGATGCTCTCAAGTGGATGGCAGGAAACCAGCTCCCCAGCGGCTGCTATGCCAATGTGGGAAAGCTCCTTCATACGGCTATGAAGGTGAGGGTCTAGCCAGTGCCCTTCAGCCCACTTGCTATGACTGGGAGGAACTTGCTCCTCTGACTCAGCAGTATCCAACAAGCACTGGCCTGGGCGTCAGTGTTTGTCAGGTCTCAGCCCTGGCTCTGAGTGACCTTGGCAAATGTACTTTAACAGTCTAAGCTGTAGCTTCCATATCTGTAGAATGGGAGTATGGACTAGAACATGGTTCTCAAAGGGTGATCCCCAGATCAGCAGCATCAGCATTACCTGGAAATTTGTTTGAAATGCGAATTCCAGCCCCACCCTAGACCAACTGAATGAGAAACTTTGGAGGCGTGGGCCAGAAACCTGGGTTTTAACTAGCCTTCCAGATAGTTCTGATGCTTGCTGAAATTTGAAAACCATTAGTCTAGAAGATCTCTGGGACTTTCACCATCTCTCAAAATCTGGTGTGTAATCTAAGTAAAGCCATTTCCTCTGGTGAGGACTAATAGGCAGCCGGTGTCTTTTGTAATGTTACCTATAATAAAACTAACCTTAACTGGAGGTTTACTCTGTGCCAGGCAATGTTCTAAGTACTTTATTTTTATTTGATATTATTTAATACTTATAAGAAATCAATGAGACAGCTACTTACATCACATTATTAATTCCATTTTACAGATGAAGAAACCAAGACACTGAGATTAAGTAAATTGTCCAAGGTCACTGCTAGTAAGTAATAGAACTACAGGTTGAACCATGCAGTCTGACTCCATAGGCACTGCTCTCACTCACTCACTACATGGTCAGCTGTTCTTAGTTGCCATTGAGATGGCAACCTTATATATAACAACCTCATGTATAACAGAAGGAAATGTTGCCTAATCCTCTGACACTCCTCCTAAATACAGAGTGAGACACAAATGCTGGATGATAACTTGGTCAGTTCAGAACATAATCAGTGAAAGAAAGATCTGTATGAACTTTCCTAGAGAAATCATTTGCATTGCTATTCCAGAGCCTGGATTAAAAATCTTTTCTTTTTTTAATTGTTGTAGTTTAAATGAAGTTTACATTTCAAGTTAGTCTCCCATACAAAAATTTATACATACATTGCTATGTAACCCTGATTGCTCTCCCCATGCTGTCACAGCACACTCCTCCTTTCCACCCCTGATTCCCCAGTCCATTCAACCAGCTCCTAATCCTCTCTGCCTTCCCATCTCACTTAAGGACAGAAGCTGCCCTTTTAGTCCCTTGTATCTACTTGAGCTAAGAGGCACACTCCTCACGAGTATCATTTTATGTCCCACAGTCCAGTTCAATCCCTGTCTGAAGAGTTGGCCTCGGAAACTGTTTTAGTTCTGGGCTGATAGAGAATCCAGGGGCTGTGCTTTCTGGGGTTCCTCCAGTCTCAGACCATTAAGACTGGTCTTCTTACTAGAATTTGAGTTCTGCACCCCACCTTTCTCCTGCTCCATTAGGGATGCTCTGTTGTGTTCCCTGTCAGGGTGGTCATTGGTGGTAGCCAGGCACCATCTAGTTCTTCTGGCCTCAGGCTGATGAAGTCTCTGGTTTATGTGGACCATTCCGTCTCTTGGGCTAATACTTTCCTTGTGTCTTTGGTGTTCTTCATTCTCCTTTACTCCAGGTAGTATCTTAGATGGCCGCTTGCAAGCTTTAAGACCTCAGACGCCACTCACCAAAGTAGGATGCAGAACATTTTCTTAATAAGCTTTGTTATGCTAATTGACTTAGATGTCCCCTGAAAGCATGGTCCCAGACCCCTACCCCTGCTACTCTGTCCCTCAAAGTGTTTGATTGTATTCAGGAAACTTCTTAGCTTTGGTTTAGTTCAGTTGTGCTGACTTCCCTTGTAGTGTGTCCTGTCCTTCCCTTCACCTAAGATAATTCTTATCTACTATCTAGTTAGTAAATAACCCCGACCCTCCCTCCCCACCCTTGTAACCATCAAAGAATGTTTTCTTTTGTGTTTAAACCTTTTCTTGAGTTCTTATAATAGTGGTCTTATACAATATTTGTCCTTCTGTGACTGAGTAAATTCACTCAGCATAATGACCTCCAGATTCCTCCATGTTATAAGATGTTTCATGGCTTCACCGTTGTTCTTTGTCATTGCATAGTATTCCATTGTGTGGATATACCATAATTTGTTTATCCATTCGTCCATTGATGGGCACCTAGGTTGTTTCCATCTTTTTGCTATTGTGAGCAGTGCTGCAATGAACATGGGTGTGCATATATCTATTCGTGTGACGGCTCTTATTTCTCTAGGATATATTCCAAGGAGTGGGATAGCTGGATCGTATGGTACTTCTATTTCTAGCTTTTTAAGGAAGCACCAAATTGATTTCCAAAGTGGTTGTACCATTTTATATTCCCACCAACAGTGTAGAAGTGTTCCAGTCTCTCCACAACCTTTCCAGCATTTATTATTTTGTGTTTTTTGGATTAATGCTAGCCTTGTTGGGGTGAGATGATATCTCATTGTAGTTTTGATCTGCATTTGCCTAATGGCTAATGATCGTGAACATTTCTTCATGTGTCTGTTAGCCACCTGAATATCTTCTTTGGTGAAGTGCCTGTTCATATCCTTTGCCCATTTTTTAGTTGGGTTATTTGTCTTTTTGTTGTGGAGGTTTTGCAGTATCTTGTAGATTTTAGAGATTAGACGCTGATTGGATTTGTCGAAGCCAAAAATTTTTTCCCAGTCTGTAGGTTGTCTTTTGACTGTTTTGGTGAAGCTTTTTGATGAGCATAAGTGTTTGATTTTTAGGAGCTCCCATGTATCTAGTGTCTCTTCTGGGCTTGTGCATTGTTACTTACAGTTTGTATTGTGTTCATGCCATGTATTAGGGCTCCTAGCATTGTCCCTATTTTTTCTTGCATGATCGTTATTGTTTTTGATTTTATATTTAAGTCTTTGATCCATTTTGAGTTAGTTTTTGTACATGGTGTGAGGTATGGGTCTTGTTTCAGGTTTTTGCAGATGGATATCTAGTTATGCCAGCACCATTTATTAGACTATCTTTTCCCCAGTTAATGGGCTTTGGGCCTTTGTCAAATATTAGCTGCTCATAGGTGGATGAATTTATGTCTGGATTCTCCATTCTGTTCCATTGGTCTGTGTATCTGTTGTTGTACCAGTACCAGGCTGTTTTGACTACAAAATAGGTTCTAAAATCAGGTAGTGTGAGGCCTCCCACTTTGTTCTTCTTCTTGAGTAATGCTTTACTTATCCGGGGCCTCTTCCTTTTCCATATGAAGTTGGTGATTTGTTTCTCCATCTCCTTAAAAAATGCCACTGAAATCTGGATCAGGATTGCATCATATCTGTAGATCGCTTTGGGTAGAATTTATATTTTCACAATGTTGAGTCTACCTATCCAAGAGCAAGGTATGTTTTTCCACTTATGCAGGTCTCTTTTGGTTTCTTGCAGTAGTGTCTTGTAGTTTTCATTGTATAGGTCTTTTACGTCTCTGTTAGATTTATTCCTAAGTATTTTATCTTCTTGGGGGCTATTGTAAATGGTATTGATTTGGTGATTTCCTCTTCGAGGTTCAATTTGTTGGTGTAAAGGAATCCAACTGATTTTTGTATGTTATCTTGTATCCTGAAACTTTGCTGAAATCTTCTATTAGTTCCAGTAGTTTTCTTGTAGATTCTTTGGGGTTTTCTGTGTATAAGATCATATCATCTGCAAATAGAGATACTTTGGCTTCTTCCCTTCCAGTTTGGATGCCCTTTATTTCTTTATCTAGCTTAATTGCTATGGCTAGGACTTCCAGCACAATGTTGAATAAGAGTGGTGATAAAGGGCATCGTTGTCTAGTTCCTGTTCTCAAGGGGAATGGTTTCAAAGTCTCTCCATTTAGGATGATGTTGGCTGTTGGCTTTGTATGAATGCCCTTAATGATACTGAGGAATTTCCCTTCTATTCCTATTTTGTTGAGAGTTTATATCATGAATGGGTGTTGGACTCTGTCAAATGCCTTTTCTGCATCCACTGATAAGATCATATGTTTCTTGTCTTTCATTTTATTTATGTGATGGATTACATTGATTTTCTAATGTTGAACCATTCATTGCTGCATACCTGGTATAAGTCCCACTTGATCATGGTGAATTATTTTTTGATATGTTGCTGAATTCTATTGGCTAGAATTTTGTTGAGAATTTTTGCTTCAATGTTCATGAGGGATATTGGTCTGTAATTTTCTTTTTTTGTGGTGTCTTTACCTGGTTTTGGTATCAGGGTTATGCT